CTCTCTCTCTCTCTCTCAATTTCTCTCTCTGTTTATCTCTCTCTCTTTCTCTCTCTCGCTCTCTCTCTCTCTCTCTCTCACACACACACACACACACACACACACACACACACACACGTACACACACACACACACACACACACACACGTGCGCGCGCGCGCGCGCTTTCACACGCACACACATATACATACGCACACTTTCTGACCTCTCCTCAACACATTGAAACAATCTCATTTTTTTCTCTTATATTTTTGCACATTATGCTTCAAAAACCCTTGTATGCAGACACCAAGAATATCTTTGACAACCCCCCCCCCCCTGACCATGTGTTAGCATTACATTATAGGCCTACCCAGTATCTTGAACTTTCTCTGTCCGTAAAACCTTCTGACCCCAGAACATTCCCTTGGAAGCAGTGTACACTTATTTAATTTTACTAGTCGGGTTAGAAATATCGGATCGGATCGGGTCGGAAAGACAGGCTGGCCTGACTATGCTCTCGTCAATTTGTTACGTTGTCGCCTTCTGATTAGCTGTTGTGACTGATCTGATCCGACTGTCACCCTTCAAAAGAAACATGTTTTTGTTTGGGACAAACGATTCGGGTTCTGGGCCAAAAATAACAGCACTCTCAGAGATATTGCCGGCCGGAAAAGCTGCTGTCATTCAACAGGTCATGCAGAATCGAGCAGGAATCGCATAAGTGTACACTGGCAATAACTTCTATTGAAGTAGAGTCATGCTTCGTGTCCATTCTTGATCAGTGCATGTTGTATTACGTTAAGCTATATTATTATATTATCTCTTGTACTCCGGTTTTTAGCAGAAGTTGAACCTCATGTAGCCAATTCTGAATTTATGCATGAGGCCTTTTCCTTCTGGGCTTGCAATGCCGATTTGTTTCTGCCAGTGTAACTCTTTGATTGAAACGCTTTGCGGTACAGCTTTGCATATACGTGCCAGACTTTTTTAACAATAAGGAATTTATTTCAAATGGATCCTAAAAGAAATTTCACTTACATCATAGAAACATTTGAGAAAGATGGATGCTTTGTTGTATGAATATTTTAGTGTCTGTTTTGTTCATCTACACAAAACATAAATTTTGTATTATGTGTCACTTTTGTTCAAAAGAAGGGCTCTTAGATATGTGTTGTGAATTTGTTTGATTAGAAATCAAAGCTACTATTTTACTATGAAGTTAATAACTCTTTATTGTAAATCACTGCTGGTGAATAAATTATGCCAATTATGTTTTCGGAGGATGTGGAAGTTGTACTTCTAGGAAAACAATTTGCTTGCAGTTTATTTGTTAAATAATCTTTCGATTGATGTGATGAAAAACTCATGATCTTTGACAATAAAATTACTGTGAATTGTATTAAGTCATATTGTTAGGGTCTAAGAATATTTACAGACAACATCGATTATTGTTTCTGATCCGTGAGATTATCAAGAACAGGAACATTGTGCGCATTTCTGACACAGGTCAATTTATCTTCTTTTTTTTCCCAGAGAGAAGAAAATGAGGAGGCATATAAGGCTTGGTTGAAGGAGAAGAGGTCCCAAGGAAAGAAGGATAAACTTCTAAAACGTAGACAGCAGCAAGAACAGATGGAAGGTTTCTACATCAGACCCAGAGAAGAATGTGACAGAGCTTTCAGAGAGTGAGTATCTTTCTCTGTCTCACACGCACCCACAGCGCGGTGTGTTTTCAAGTTAGCAGATTGGTGTCTGTGAGTGGTAATGGTCAGGCTCCTACCTGCCTGCTGTTAGAAGTCTTAATTTTGAGTTTCATACTCGGGTGTAGCAGTTCATTCTGTGGAGAATTTCTCTCTCATGGGATACTGTGTCCCATTCAGCCCTGATAAACTCTGACGAGAAGAGTCAAAGCTTCTTCTTCATCTTCATCTATTCTATTCACATACAGTCGAAACTGCCATGACGGCCACCTATATAATGTGGCCACCTGTGCAAAATGCCACTTTCTACTTCCCCTTTGGGATTTTTCTATATAATAACGCTGTGTAAAATGATGACTTGTCCAAAGTGGCCACAACGATTATATTTTGTCAACCAACAACCTGAAATACTTATCTAGGATGGCCACATGAATCTCTCATCGCCTGACACTTTGTCATAAGTTATATATTATCCCCTGGGGTGGTGCATACTGACTGAAGTGTCTTTAGGCCATTCCCAAAGGGGGGGACATTAACATGTTCTTATGCTCAGTAGAACTGTAAATGGGCAGATACATCAACGTCAGACTATCGTCATTTTCCTCTACTTCTTTTGTATGTTTGTCACTCTGTTGTGACCCGCTATTTCTGGAGTGCCTTGATAGTGGAAGCAGACTTTGTTGAAGCTAGAGAGGTGAGCAGAGTACTAAGCCTGATCCCCTATCAAGACTTCTCTTTTGACATCCACCCCTTGGCGCTCATATAACCTTATGCTGTTGCGAGCGCCTTAAAAACTCTACTAAACTAAAACTAAATTATATATTGGCCCCTGATGCTGTGAATGAGCTGTCATCCATTCACCTGTCTTTTTTGTGGGTCTCCCCAATGAATGAACCGATCATGTTGCGTTGGTCTCTCCCACTGTTTACCCAAGCTGACCAGTTGGTAACAAATTTTCAGCTGCTGGTGAGGAAGGCGTGTGATCCATCATAACCTAAGCCCTCCCATAACTCAAACGCAAATTATAAGTGACATGAGCAGTCACTCTGTTTACCCAGTCTATAACAATGGATGTCAAAATGAACTTGTGACGGAAGTATGTGTCTGACTCATTTCATTTTGTTGTACCCTGGCACAAAGCCAGCCACCAAAAAACTTCCCAAAAAACGGATAACAACAAAAAAAAATCCTCAAACCTTCCTATCCCTGCCCTCCTCTCCCCCCCCCCCCCACACACACACGCCCTTTTTCAAAAGAACAAAAAAAAACCCCACATGTTAGTTTGCCCAATGGCAATCGCAAGTCTGCGACCACCTCTGGTTAGGACCCTAGAGAAGAATAGATTGGTTTTTTCAATTTGATCAGTCATACTTAAGATGGCCATCTGTGTAAGACCTCCAGTTTTCTCCTTGACTATGGTTGGCCGTCTTACACACAGTCGACTGTACATACACACACACACACACACACACACACACACACACACACACACACACACACACTCACACACGCACACACACACACACACACACAGATACACATTTCTTCAAGTATTATAGCTTGTTTATCGCCAGTTTTTATTATTACCCAAGTTTCACCGTTCTGTTGAAATACATGAGAAGATCTTGAGTTTTCTCCACTGTTTTCATTTTGAGCACTGTTTTGTATCTCCGTAGGTGGCTGAAGAAGAAGAATGCTGATCTGAAAAAGCAGCACGACACAGAGCGACAGAGGAATAGAATGTACAGGCTTCAAGTCAGAAGATCTAAGAAGACCAGTGCGCTTGTTAAAGCTCTGAAAGAATCCCAAGCATTTCGTTATGTAGGTTACTATGGTTATAGGTTCTAAGTTGAATTAGTTGGAATGCTTTTGTTTCATGAGGTTTGGTAGTTTATGCTTTGTTGTTGTGCTATTTTTTGTTACCCTCTTTTTTATTTGTGTATTTCTGTTGAGGTTAGAGTTGCAACATGAGGTACATTTTTTTCAGTTGAATAATAGAGTTTGATTTTTTTTCTTCACGTTGCCTTTTTGTTTGAGAGGAAAATACTTGGGTCGCGGATTTATATTCTAGTTTGGTTTATAAATATCAGTTTGTGAATATGATAAAAACAAATGAAGATCTGTCAAAAAATAGTTACGGTCAGGGGTATTATAAGTCCTTGAAAGCTTCTCAAAACCAGTGAATGTATAGATGAATTTACCTAATTTTGTTTTCAAATTAGACTCAAAAAAATTTCAATATTCTGGAGCGAACGGTGAGATGTCGAATTTTGCCATTGTCCTTTACTCTTATTTTGTTTCCATCAGTAAGAGGAAAAATTGAAAGCTTAAATTGAATTTTTATGTCTTTATCTTCTTTTTAAACTGAAATGATTTACAATATCACATTCTACAATCTATTGTGGGAATGATCTGCAGAAATATTAAGCTTAATTAAGTATATTGTACCCTCTTTTTTACTGCATGCTTTTCAATCTGTTGTTGGAATTCTTTGTTTTGATTCTCACAATTTAAGTGATTTTTGTCTTTATCTTCTTTTGAAACTGAAAGTAATTTACATTGTCACTTACGCTTTATAATCTATTGTGGGAATGATCTACAGAAATCCTAAGCTTACTTAAGTAAATTGTACCATCTTTTTACTGCATGCTTTTCAATCTATTGCTGGAATTCTTTGTTTTGATCTCACCATTTAAGTGATTTTCAGATGTATGAGGATTGACGAGCTTCCCATGATGTGTGACTGTGAGGAGATTTTGGGCTTCTGAAATGTAGAGAATGGATCCATCATTCATACAGATTACACAAATCATCCTCACTTCACCCAGGTGGGAATGGGTACCTGCCTATAGACAGCGAAAAGTCTTGTCAGTTTGTTAATGTTTTAGTGCGTATAGTCTACAGGTTGCACTGTATTCTTCCTGGGAAGCCGAGAATGTTTCTGAATGTTTTAAGGTCTGCTGGGGTAATAAAAGTTGTAAAGCTCATGGGGCATGCTCTAGAGCATGACTATGCGCTATATAAATGAAATTATTTTTATGATTACTATTATTATTGTTATTATTATTACTATTATTGTTATTGTTATTATTTTTTTTTAAAATAAATTATTATTATTACTTTTTTTTTGGACAGATGTGAATCATACACTGACAATGGTGTCAGAGTCAAGAAATCATTTGGTATGGTTCTTCAATTCTAAAATGAATTATGCACTGCTTACTTTGGAAGATGCAATTTGATTGTCATTCTTTCATTTGCAAATTGCCAGGTTTTGTTTGTTTGTATAATGCTAGACTTCTGGCTTTGAAGACAACAGTTTCCACACATTTTCTACAGAATAACATGCCATATTCATATTGTACTCGAATCTTCAGAGGAGAGTATTACGTTTACATTTCTCATCAATCTGAAGAAGCAGAGTGGATGTATGAGACGGATTAGATATCCACTTTTTTTTTTTGAGGGGGGGGGGGGGGGGGGGGCTTTGTTTAACATAATGAGTCGAGACACTCACTTAACCCAGTTAAAGAAGTAACCAGCGTCAGTTTCTCCGATGTTGCACAAAGTATAATGGTATGTTGCATGTGTGCTTTCCAGTTAGAATTAAGTAGAGCAGCCATTAACTGGAGATGACTTATGTATGATGTTAACAAAATAGCAGTGGCTTGATTGTTTTTGTTTTTTAAAAATTTCAGTGCGTAATTTTCATTGTAACCTCTTTAAAGTCAGACGTTTTGGTTGATTTATATGACTAGCCATATATTTCTGCTTCTTGTAAGCCATATTTTGAAACTAATTTTGCTGCCATGATGTGTGAATGCCTTGCGTGTACTGATGTCTTGAAAGGCAGCAGTAGATAGACATCCCAAAGACATAACATTTATTTAAAGAAACAATCGAGACTTACCTGTAAGTTGATGATTGTTTCTGATTTTGACGATCTGTCGTCAGGAACGGAGTGGTAACATGAGAAGGCAGCACGGCGTAACCCATCACACTTTAGATAGTCACAGTTGTGACAATTAAATTATTCATTTGGGAAACCAAATACTTGCGAGCACCATAGGTGAAATTAATGAAAGAATAACAATCACATAAACACCATACGTCAGGAACGAAGAAATATAAATTTCATGTTATTGGGAGGGTTTGGGAGGGCATGTTACCACTCCGTTCCTGACGACAGATCGTCAAAATCAGAAACAATCATCAACTTACAGGTAAGTCTCGATTGTTTCTTTAATTTTAACTCAACTGCCGTCAGGCCCTCCGTTGGAAACATGAGATTTTAGAGCCACAACTGTGACTAATACAATGAACAACCTCCAAAGCGTTCTTGTTTGTGATCAATATGAAGATCATTATATATTCTCTGTAGCTTCTTGTATTTGGTATACATGTACATACATGAATGTAAAAACAAAGATTATTTAAAGAATGAAGCTTGATACCATCACTCATATGAGATAAATACTATTACAAAATGTAACGCTATAAGCAACTTTCAATGTAACAGTAAAAACAGAGCATTTTCTATCATGCTAGATATATTCTCTGTATATTTACATTTTCAGTATATCTGTACAAAACTACATGCAGTCAAATGTTGCCTGTTTTGGCGAAATAAGAGTCCAGAAGGCTTTGACCGAAATTTTGTCTTATATTTTTCTTATAGAACTTAGCAAAAGTACTTTCTTGCGACCAGCCAGCCGCGCTCAATATGGTTTGTATTGGCACTCCTGATTTCAATGCACCAGATGTGCTAGCAGCTCTTGTGCTGTGAGCAGTAAAGGTTGTAATATCAATACCAGCCATTTCCATCAGTGTTTTTATCCACCTTTTGACTGTGTCTCTGCTAACAGGTTTGTGTGGTGCCTGATGACTGATGAGCAAACGAGACTCATTGATATGAGTTCGTAATGACTGTGTTCTTTTCAGATATTCTTTCAGGATGCTGACAATACATAAGCTTGGATTATCTTTGAATCCTAAAAATTCCAAGGGTTCTTGGTGGTGACTTTTCCTGGAGTGTTTCAATAATTTGGAAACATAGAATGTACATTTGTTCTTGCTTATTTCCATACTCTTGATATCTAAACTATGAATAGTTTGGGCTCTTTGTCCCGATAACAAGGCCAATAACATGGTGAGTTTTAAAGTTAATTCTTTCAAGGAGAGAGACTCGTGAGGAACCCAAGGCTCCACAAAAGTTAAGACCTGATGCGGATCCCATGAGCCAGTCATGCTTTTCATTGGGAAAGATGGATTTTGTTCAAAAGCCCCTTTTATAAACCTTTTGACACAGTCAAGGTTACCGAAGTCTGGAATATTTAAATAGCATGATAGTGCTGACCTAGCAATGCATACGGCCGAATGTGATGCCCCATTTTCATGTAATTCTGCCAGAAAATTGATGGCTACTGCTATAGGTGGTGAAACTGGATCCACTTTGACTGTAGAAGCGTACCTTTCCCATTTGGAAATATATGTGGAGTAAACCTTTTTGGTATCTGGCCTCCACGAGGCCATGATGATTTCGGTAGCTTTTGGTGAAAAGCCTTGGGTTCTGAGTCTCTCCCCGACACTTTGCATATAAGAAGTCTTAGCTTCTTGTGAAGTGGGTGGTGAGTGTCTGGATGACTGGGTTGATGTAGAAGGTTTTTCCTTGCTGAGATAAGAACTGGACTGTCGACCAGAAGTCTCATCAACAATGGGAAGAATGGCTGAGCTGGCCAGTAGGGTGCCACAATCACTCCAACTGCTTCGTCCTGGATGACTTTTTGAAGGACTCTAGATAACAAACAAAAAGGTGGGAAAGCATAAAACTTTTTATTACTCCAGTTTCTCGTGAAAGCATCTATTCCCAGTGCATCTGGGTCAGGCTTGAATGACATGTAATGTCTGAACTGATGATTTAATCTTGATGCAAAAAGATCAATCTCAGGAAAGTATCGCAACACACTCAGTGCATGCATCAGGAGGTCTGAATTGAGTTTCCATTCCGTATCTAGATTGACATGTCTGCTCTCATAATCAGCCTCAGTATTGTCTGTGCCTGCTATTCTGGCTAATGACAGCCAAATGCCTCTCTGTCTGCACCAATCCCATATTATTTTACTCAGCCTGTTGAGCTCCATGGATTTGGATGACCCCATTTTGTTCAGACAACCCATAGTGGCAGTGCTGTCTGTAAATATTTGGACATGTATGTTACTCTTTCGTTTTGCAAATGATTTCAGTCCCATAAAAGCTGCAAACATTTCAAGGACATTTATGTGTAAGCCTGCTTCTTCTGCTGACCAGGCGCCCCCAGTTCTAACTTCATTGCAAACAGCACCCCAGGCTTTCAGACTAGCGTCCGTTTTTATGATTAACTGCGGATCATGCCTGGTGATAGGACTAAAAGCGATAGTCACATTATGTTTCCACCAATCAATTTCTTTCAATGCCTCCGACGAGAGGGGCATGGATTTGTTCCAATTATTGCCATTGCGTTTCAATGCCACCACCTTTTCTCTCTCTAGAGTTCTGTAGTACAAAGGGCCATATGGTACAGCAGGAAAGCTTGCGACAAATAGGTCAATTAAACGGGCTACATTTCTGATTGGTTGAATGCGATTGCTGGAAATTTCTTCACAATTTTTCAAAATTACCTGTTTCCTCTTTTCAGTCAGTGCCACGGTCATTTCTTTGGAATTTATTACAAAGCCAAGATATACAATCTCTTGAGTGGGTGAGAGGACCGATTTTTCAGGGTGGACAACGAACCTCAATTCATCGAATATTGAAATTGTATCAGCTATGTTTTCAATGCATGCAGTTTTGTCTTCCGCTATAAGCAGTGAATCATCCAAATATCCTGTGGCTATATGACCTAATCCATGAAGGTATGCGTAGATCGGTTTTGTGATCTTGGTAAAACACCTCGGGCACTGAGCTAATCCGTTACTATAGCATGTATACTCGTACAGCTGTCCTTTCCATAAAAATTTTAAATACTTCCTGTCCTGTGGTCTAATGGGAACACTATAATATGCTGAAACCAGATCTACACTGGCAAGCCAACAATTCTGAGTTACTAGATTTAATGCACTCTTCAGTGTCTCCATTTTGAACTTTTTGTATTCAACATTTTTGTTGAATTCTTTCAAATTTAGTATCACTCTATGTGAACCATCGGATTTCTCTCTAGTAAAAATGCCAGAAATGAATTCACCATCTTCATGACTCGATTTAACTATTACCCTTTTTTCTAAAAGAGATTCTATTTCTCTGTCTACCATCATCGTTTCTTCCCTGCTCATAGAAAAACTTGAATCGGGCTTATTGCTGCCCATAACTTCTTGCTGTTCTGTGAGGTCTATTTCAGTACCTCGTACCAAAGCCAGAACAGCTTTATCTGATGTGAGTCGCCGCCATTGTGGCAGACAATGCTTTATTTGTCCAGCTGTAAATCTTTTAGTCTTAAGTTCCAGCAATCGCTTCATTTCTCCATCTTCAACTCTTACCTGTTGCCCATCTATTCGTGTCAGCACTACGCCCTTTTTGACTGACTCCAATTGGTCGTCTTGTTCGAGCCGCGAGGAGCATAGTTGGCTTGGCCCATCCTCTTCTGACCTCTCCACCGCGGGCCCCCGCGGTGGTTCACGCGGTGGTTCCCTCGGCCTAAAAAATGGCCTCGCCTTTTCCCCTGGCTTGCGTGAAATGATGACGTCAGTCTCTTTTGTTCTCGCGCCTCCTTCATCTTCTTTTCCACCTCTTCTCCGAACAGCAAGTCGTTGCCATCAGAAACCATGTCACAGATACCCTGCGACTCAAATGGAATCGCCGGTTTTTGACTTTCTTTTCTCTGCCATGTAATCTTTTGCTGGGTATGTC